TCTCTCTCTCTCTCTCTCTCTCTCTCTCTCTCTCTCTTTCTCTCACTTTCACTGTCCGTCAACAGTCATTTTCTCGTCTGCTTCGTCAGTTCTCCATTGACAACAGTTTCGTTTGCACGTTTCATTTCCTCTTTGCATTCACTCTTACTTTCACTTTCACTTTCACTTTCGTTGTGATTACAATCACACTTGTACGACCACCACCACCACCAGCAGCACCATCAACAGCAGCCGCACTGCCTGTAAACATTCGGCACGCCACTTTCAGCTTGCTGGCTGGTGTCGCTGGTAACTAACGCAAACTAAACCACAACATTTTTTTGTACACTCAAACTAAAACAATACCGATTTCGCTGTGATTTGGCATCGTATCGCCAAAAATGGTCTCCACTTCTTCATCAGATGATTTGACTTTGTCATTCGCCAATCTCTCCGTCTCGCCGTCGGGTGAAAAGAAAAGAGGCAGTGATAGTACTCTTACGCCGAACTGCTTTACCAGCAGAATTGCCACTGACAAAGAAAGAGAAGACACTGTAAGTCTAATTCAAGTACTTTTGTAAGAAAAAATCTTAGTTTTCAAAAACTAATTCAAATTAAAAGTTTTTTTAAATTTATCACTTTTGACTATGTCAGCGTTTTATGTTTTGATTACACTTTCAGAGTAAATCAGTTGAGTTTTTATATTGGTTTTGCTTAAAAGTCAAATTAAAGAATGCAAGAATGTTTAATGAAACTCCAAAGAACAATATACTGTATACTCATCTAGCATTGTATGTTTATACTCCTTTTGTTCGAATAAGAAACAGTAAAGTTAAGTTTTTGTACAAAAACTTAGATTTTTTATATTAAAACTTGTCCTGACAATTGTTTTGCAGACAACATTTAAAATTTATTGCAGCATTTGCATAAGCTGTTAAAGTCAAGCAAATAAACATTTACTAATTAACCACAGCATGCAATTTAACATTTTCCTAATNAGACAACATTTAAAATTTATTGCAGCATTTGCATAAGCTGTTAAAGTCAAGCAAATAAACATTTACTAATTAACCACAGCATGCAATTTAACATTTTCCTAATTTTCTTAATTGTTTTCTTTCTCTTTTGTGTCACAATACGATAAAATGACAACAATTTATGCAGAGTTTTTTGCTTTTTTGACAGTTAAAAGAAATTTGTGTTTGAAAAAATAAAAATGTAGAATAAATGCAAAACAATCATGCAAAGTTATGTTTATTATAAAAGTATTTTATTAAAGTTTACCACAATGAGCAAAATGA